AAGATAATTATAAGCCATGCAACTCGTAGGAAGGCCAAACTCTGCCCTCGAATCATATAAATCCATGGCAACATCCATCATTCCAGCCTTGCATAAGAAGCACAATGTTGCATTCATTGTAACATCATCAGGCAATATTCCCTTCCCCTTATCTCCATCAATAAATCGCACACCTCAATAAGCCTATTCTCCATCAAAAGCCTACAAATCAATGAGTTATAACGAAAAACATCAGGAACATAACCCTCGACTGACTGTTTATCCTTCAAAAACTCCAATGCCCCATCCAACTTCCCAGCCTTAACATGGTCCCTAATCCACATGCTGTATGCATACTCCATCGAAACCAAATTCATTTTATGGAACTCCTCAATCAATAATGCAGACTTCTCAAACTGATTATCCTTGCACAAAGCATCCACAAAAATACCAACCACAGCCCCACTCAATCCCATCCCATTATCTCCCACCGACCTCGTAGATAGTTTTCGGCCATCTCCAACTCATTCTGCTTACAGAAACACTTCATCATAATCGAATGTGTTACCTCATTCTGAATTGCCCGGACTCTAATTTGCTTCGCCACCATTTCCACCACGTCAAAATATCCCTCCTCGACTAGTGAATTCAACAGCACATGGTTTGCAAATGCGTCCAAGTCCACGTCCTGGAACCTCATTCTACCGAACAGCTCCAGTGCAACTTCAGATTTGACCGCAACAGCGTATCCAATCACCAAAGTGTTGTAAAATCTAACTTTATGCACATACCTTCGTTTCATATAATTCTGTAGGAAGTCTAGCATTAGGGACATTAGCTTGGCCTTGGATAAAATCCGAAAAATTGCATTAAAAGTGGCTCTAGTGTGGTAGAAACCGGGCGGCGTCCAGCCCAATCGAAGAATTTCAAGCAAGAAAGCGTATCTTTTTGCTCGTAGCTTAATACGTCGAGGACTAAGGCTTCGGAGAGACGCAAATTGAAGAGGGAAAGGGCAGAATCAGCAGCAGATTCATCATGGGCACGAAGGATTTCGAAGATTCGATCAAGCAACGGGTTGTTTCGGGACATGAACCAATCTCTGAAGCACGAAACTAAATCGTTTACTTGGACCTCTGACGGGTATCCCATTCTGCGTTGAAGTGAAGTGGTGGATTTAATGGAGGAAGGAAAAAATGGGTTCGAATAAAAAGGGTAGGGCTGGATGGAAGTGGTGGCGGTGGTGGAAAAGGGAGGAGGAACTTGGTGGTGGAAGCTCTACTTTGCCTTGCATATCTGAATGTAATCATCATAATTTGGATTAATTATCTATCTGACGGTTTTTCTACTATGTTTAATGTTTTAACGCTAGAAGGAAATGGAGGTTTCGAGAAGAATTTTGATGGTGGTGAGTGGCTGCGGCGGCGGCTGCTGCCGGTGGATAAGAAGCTTAGGCCTGTACTGCTCGACGGCGACGGAGGAGGCTTTTCATAAAAAACGTAAAAGGTCAGTTTTTACCTTAATGAAATGGATTTTATTGCAAAATATATCCTTACTTTTACTTTATGAAATAGTTTTAAATTTTAGTTTTTATTTTATATTTCTTCTATTTCTCTATTTGTCTTCACTATATATTTCTTCTAAATCTAATTTTTCTTCAAAAATTTCTTCATCGGTTATTATTTCTTCAAAGTTGATTTCTTCACATTCATCCCTAATTTGTTCAAAATCTGTAATTAGTATTCTAACTTTCTTTTTTGGGCATTCAGTACTTATATGTCATTCTTCATT